TACGGTTTAAGGGATAGATAAAATTATATGGAAACAAAGTATAGAAGTGAGTGATTGCTATCATTTATTGTTTGAACAAGATGATGAAGGAATTCTATATGTCACTACTATTGCAAAAAGCGTATTTACTACCACTGCTGCTTTTGTTCTTACCAACTATCACTATGCTTTTACACTAGTAATATATAATATTGTATTAAACTCTAGGTTGAAAAATATTATTTGTAGCAAAAAGCAGATTAAGCATCGTATAGCACAGTATTTGATAAGTAATTATAATAAATCAATATAAATTAATAGACAAATCTCCAAATATCTGAACAAAAATTTTTATATATATATAAATTTTACTATAAGCCTGAAAGTAGAGTGCCTCTATCTAAAACTTTTTTTCTTATTAAATAAATTACTCTTGTGTTTCTAACAGAAGTTGTAAAGCTCATCAAGATGCATTTAATAATAGTAAGAATGTTAAAATTGGCTTAGTAGTTCTTAAAAAATCTTTAAAAAACTTCTTGCTTATATATAAAATTTCTTTAAAAAAATCAATTTTTTTAAAGAAATTTTATATATAAGCAAAAAGTTTTTTAAAGATTTTTCAAGAACTACTAAGCCAATTTTAATATTCTTATTACTATTAGATGTATCTTTATGAGCTCTACAACTTCTGTTAGAAGCTCAAGAGTAATTTACTTAATTAAAAAAAGTTTTAGATAGGGGTGCTTCACTTTTGAGCTTATAATAAAATTTAAATTAATATATTTGTAGCTATAGGCTACCGTAGCTATAACTAAAATAACACTTTTTATTGTTAGTTAGGGTTAGAATGAGTTAAAGATAGTATGCAGGTGAAAAGGTGTATTTTATGGTAAAATTTAGCAAGAAATTTTTTGTTAAAATCTGAAGAGTAGGTTTATATACTTAATTTTGAGTTATAACCGATTTTTTACAATTTTGACAAAACAAACATTTGTTTTGAATTTTCCTAATTGTGTTATATTACACCTGATCTTTAAATTTTGATTAGCTTTTATAGAATACAGCTATAGTAGCCACAGCTACAAATATATTGCTCCATAAAATTTATATATAAAAAAAAATTTTTGTTCAGGTATTTGGGGATTTGCCTATTAATTTATAATTAAGCAATTTGGCTTTTATTTATTATATTAGAATAATCTCAATAATAGCGATTCTGCTTACAGTTAGCAAATATGATAATTGATAAAAAACTTGCACTAAGGTCTTATAATGATGAACATGCTTCTATCAACCTTAATCTCAGTCATAACTTTAATACTATATCTCTTTTTCAAAGTAGTTTAATAATACTTTTACAGAAAAAACAAGATAACTTGTTTGGTATTAGTCACTAGCATTGTTTGTTTTTTTTTGTATATTTGTAAAAACATTATATATAAAACTTATATATATCATATTTATTATATATATTGTATATTGTATATTGGCAAAATAAAAAAATTTGTAAATGATTCAACTCTTTCTGATGATCCCTTGGTCAACAACAAAAAAACCGAACTACAGTAAAAGTATAAAAAAGCAACTAAATAGATACTACTCTTGGTTCTATGTTAAGTAGGCTATTATTGATGAAGCCTAAGTCAAACGTGATATA